AATAAATAACAACAGTTATAATAAATAACAGCAGTTCTAATAAATAATAGCAGTTCTAATAAATAACAGTTCTAATAAATAACAACAGATATAATAAACAACCACAGTTATAATCAATAACAGCAGTTATCATAAATAACAAGATATAATAAATAACAGATATAATAAATAACAACAGTTATAATAAATAACAACAGTTATATTAAATAACAACAGATGTAATAAATAACAATAGTTATAATAAATAACAATAGTTATAATAAATAACAATAGTTATAATTAACAACAGTTGTAATAAATAACAACAGTTATTATAAATAACATTTATAATAAATAACAACAGTTATAATAAATAACAGATATAATCAATAACATTTATAATAAATAACAACAGTTATAATAAATAACAGTTATAATAAATAACAGTTATAATAAATAACAACAGTTATAATAAATAACAACAGATATAATAAATAACAGATATAATAAATAACAACAGTTATAATAAATAACAATTATAATAAATAACAACAGATATAATAAATAACAACAGATATAATAAATAACAACAGTTATAATAAATGGCAGAGAGCAGTGTTTTTATGATACTCACCCTTTTTCAGCATGTAGGAGCAAAACTAATAAAATCCAGTTACAAAGAGACGTTAGTGTGTTTACCAGTTTGGACTAACTGTGGTCATGCAGATGCAGCATGTTCTATGAATGCAGCTGAGTCTCGGGGTTGCCAGATAAATTTAAAATGTCTTATTTATCCCCTCCTTTCTGTGCACATGTTCAACAAACACAACATACACCTCATCTTAAAATATCTTTACTCAGCACATCTGACAGTTTAGGTCAAAATACTATCATTTTAAAGCCACAGTACTATAGTTCGTCATTTCTTATCTGGCAACCCAACTGACATGGAAACTACAGCATTTTTCATGTAAACCTGCTCATTTTTTGTTTATCACCCCCAATAAACAGAGAAAAAATACAAACGTTTCCAGAGGTTGTTCTGTGTCAATGGGGCCTTACAGCAGGTGGATCACTTTGATCTGGTCATTTTAAACATGCAGGACAGTGGACCACAAGGATCCTTTTTATTTTTTCAAAGAAGCAGCTAGTGATGCAAGTTCTGAACAGTTAGAAGTGTCTGCAGAGCAGCATGCACACGTGTTTTTTTTTTTTTATAAAATCAGTTTTTGTTGATTGACATGTCTTGGCCCCTCGAAGTCCCTTCAACTTTTTGACAGTTAGTGCTCCTTAGGGAGAAGACCTTATTTAACTGCTTAAAAAGACTCTTTAAATATTCTTTTTCACAATAAACTAGTCAGTCCTATAGAGCTATCTCAGCCTGAAATACAATTTTCAAATCTAATTTACTTTAAATTTGATATCCTTACAGGTCTTTTGTTTAAAATGAAAACTCTACATTTACAGTAATTTATTTATTTATTACAATAAAGACAATTTTTATTTTGTGGCATTTTTTGGAATAAATGACGTTTCCCTCTCGTCTTCCCTTCAGATCCTGTAGCTGAAAATAAAGCGTTTTCAGTTAAACTTACTGTATTCAACTCTCTCATTTTATAAATCTCTCATGGTGTGTTTTGAAAGCTTTTTTATCTCCTCTCTCCTTTGCACACCTGTGTGTCTTGCAGAAGGTAAGCTGAGATTCTATAAACGCAGACTTTTGCATCTTTCTCTTTGTTTCAATCCGTCTTCCTCTCACTCCGCCACAAACACGTTGGATTTGAGAGGTTGCTGTATTCGATGTGCTCCTAGCTTTGTCTGCTGTGTTTTTGTCCCCTGTCACGAAGCAAAGAGGGGGAATTGAAAATACCCTTTGTCCATGCATGATGTGAGCAAGATGGCTCCAAAAATAATGCCTCTTTTCCATTAGTGCCACTATAGCACGGTACAGCTGGTTAGGTAGACGGGGTGTGGTGGGGCACCCCGCTTGTATAATGGTAGGGGAAACACTTCTTCATCATTTGATGTATTTACACTCATTGTGTCCACATTTATTGTTCAATTTAGATATGTGGTTTTGTTTCTTGTATACAGATTATTTTATTTATTTTAGCTTTGTTTTAAAGTGTAATTCTTGTTTTGTGATTTGTACATCTGTGGGTTAGAATAAAGTTGAACTGAAGGCTGTAGCTCTTCTTAAAAACATAGTTGAGGGAAATATTCCTGAGAGATCCAATAATTTTGTCTTTTTATGATTTTTCCAGCTGAGTTAACTTTAACAAATTATTTAATAAAGTCATTAATGTGAAAACAGAATTTCATGATAAAGCCAGCACAGTTTATTTGTTTTTATCTTCATTCATAAATTTTTAAAATTAAATTAAATTAAATTTTTTTATACATGAAATGTTTTTAAAAATCGTTTCCACCCTCCTTACCAGGCCGGTCCTGGTCTGACCTTGCCTGCCGGGGCTTGGGGTCCGACCTTGCACGCTCCTGCAGGTCGGCAGCTCAGAGGATCCTCTGCAGTGACAGGTGGAGCTTGGAGTCAGGGAGGTGACGCCTTGCCCGGCCTGAGGTGGAGAGGACCGCCAGCGCTCCATCTAGCTCGCTCTGAATTTTGTTATCGGTCACCAAGCACAACAAACGCCTGCACTTCAGCATTAGACCACAGCGTTGTCATTATTGTTTTTAAAAATAGCTCCAGTCGCTCCTCGAGTTCGAGTTATTGCAAATGGAGGATCTGGTTGTTGTGAAAGTTTCTCAAATAAACAATGATTCCACCCCCTGACCAATCAGTGACCAGCGGTGTTCTGACGTCACGTTTTCAGGCCAGCATGGTACGCTTGGAACCAGAGCCAAGTTGGTCCTGAAAAAGTGGCTGGTTCCACGAATCGTTAGTGGAAAAGCCTTGGAACCATGACGAACCGTGCCGTAGAGGTGCTAATGGAAAAGGAAATGGAAAAGTGAAGTACCAACTTCCCTTTTGGTGTGTGGCTACATCTAGGCGTAAGAAATGTTCCTTTCAAAAAGTGGGTTGCCGTATCAAAATCCAAGATGGCTGCCACCTTAGATGTACGTGCGAACTTTGTTAGTTGAATAACTTGAAAAATAAGTGATGTGTCGACCTCACATTTTGGTGTGAAGCTGCAATGAAGTGTAAGAAATGTTCCTCTCAAAAACAGGGCTGCCATGTCAGAATCCAGTCCAGAAAAACACTCGTGTAGAAAACTACAAAACATTTACTCTTCAAATGTCTTAGCGACAGGGGACATCTTCATACCATTTGTTTATTGGTTCTGTGCAGCTTTTCATTGTTTTGATTGATCACAGAAGCAGAATATAAAGCTGCACTTGCAACGCTGGCTTTTAAACAGATGTGTTTTTTTATTTGGCATTTTCTTGTAAACCAGTGAATCACTCAAAACGCAGTTTGTAGATAAAATAATAAGCTTTAATTGTATTCAGAACAATCCATGGGAATCATCTGGGTTCTGAAGCCGTGTTGCTACAATAATAAATGCTTCTCAACTCTTTGTAAGATTTCATGTTTTAATCAAACTGTTCTGCTTCGCTCTGCTTCACCTGGATGTTTCATGCACATCTGTAGTTCTACGATAAGACCATCTGTCACATGATCTGTTGTCACAAGGCTCCCAGTCTGCACTGTACAGTCTAATCTCCACTTTATATCTGATATTACATGTATTAATGTGTCGTTTCTTGGGGTCCTCTATAGGTCTGCCAGCATCCAAACTCCAGAATGAGAGAGTGGGGGGCTGAGGCACTGACAGCACTCATCAAAGCTGGCCTTGCCTACAAACATGACCCTCCACTGGCCCAAAATCAGGTAGGTGATGAAATGAGGAAAAGAAAATGATGAACATTATTAAATCATTATTTATCTTAGGTCTTTCAAAGACCTTAAAGTTCGTAGAGCTTTTTCTCCTGCTTTTTGTTTTGTCTAGCAACTGGTAAATACTGTAACTCTTCTGTATTACTGTAATTTTCAGTGTATAAGCCGCTACTTTTTTTTTACACGTTTTGAACACAGCAGCTTATACAATGCTGTGGCTTTTTTTTATTTTTTTTTACCTCGCTCATAGTTAAATACAGGTTGAATGGTTACTGTACGCTACTGAATGGACTAACACATGAACACAAACACTACGTAGGCTAACAAGAACAGACTCATCACTAAAACAACGATGCTGAACAGCTAACCGAAATGATTAACAATGAACATATATTTTACCCATAATCCCTCTCTGTGGCCATGTGACCAGCAGTCAACCACAATGAACCAATGAGGTACCGTACTATTAGGAGGACCCCCCCCCCCCCCCCACACACACAAGTGAGACATGCATTGATCAGACTACCTGTTTAAATAAA